GAGCTGGGTCACGAAAAATTCTAGAAGTATTTTTATATGATAGAGAAAATTATGCTCATTATAACGGTACCTTTTTCATTAATTAAAACGAAGCAGATCGAGAGTTAGAAGCAAATAAAGAGAATTTCTTCGTTTTTGCAATTTTTGAGCATGCTCAAAAAAGCCCAGAAACGTCACAGAAAATACGGAAAAGTCATGAACATGGGTTTTCTAATCTTCTCTTTCTAGCTGAGTGGAAATCGTGCTGATCGAGAGCAATTTTGATTTTCGTGAAAAATGCAGGGCCGAAAATCCGAAAAAATCACGAAAAACAAAATTGCTTTCGATCAGCTCGAAACTTGCTCAGCTAGAAAGAGAATGTCACAATACCCACGTTAATGACTTTTCTGTATTTTCTGTGACGTTTCTGGGCTTTTTTGAGCATGCTCAAAAATTGCGAAACTCAAGGTATTCTCTTTATTTGCTTCTAACTCTCGATCTACTTCGTTTCAATTGATGAAAAAGGTACCGTTATAATGAGCATAATTTTCTCTATCGCATAAAAATACTTCTAGAATTTTTCGTGACCCAGCTCGAAAAATGCCAATTTTGACTGATTTCCTTTAACTGCTTGTAACTCTCGAAGTTTCTCAAAGTAATTCATGGCGAAGGTACAGCTGTAAAGAACATGGATTACTCTTTCGAATAGATATAATTTCGACGAAATACAGCGAGTGGCAAGGAAGTTATGATTTTTTGAAAATGATGCGCAAGAACTTTCGGACCAACCTAATATATGATTTTTTTAATGTTGAAAACTCGTAAGTGCCCAGAAATCACTAAGCACAACTTTCATTAGGTACTTCTATGAACGGACTCTAGGCAAACAATTTATACCCTGAAAGCAGATGGGAAAGTTGTACCACGAAACTTTCCTCGCTGACTTGCTGTTCAGCTATAGATGCTACTATTTTTTCCTCCTGGAAGTTCATGAATGCCTATAAATCTTCACCCGATGCACAAACAATTCCCGTACAAATATCTCCTTCACTTAACCTTACCCCACCATTTATTTTTTCCTCGGCTTTTGGTAAAGGGGGTCACCTTGGTGCCGGCTCAGGGTGAAAGGAGGGTGAGCAAATTCTTTATCGCACCTATGGGTACAAGGGGGTTAGTGAGGGTGCTGATCATGGATAAAAATTTGCTTTATCAATTTTATCGATTTTTGGAGTCTTAGCTGCGGGGCTGGGAGTTGGTACAAGGAGGTTAGTGGGGGGTGCTGATTATGGATAAAAATTTAATTTATCGATTTTATCGATTTTTGGAGAAGTCTTAGCGGCGGGACTGGGAGTTGGTGCAAGGGGGGGGGGTGTAAGGATGCTGATTAAAACCGGAATCTATTTTATAGATTTCAGCGTTTTCGGAAAATTTTGAGCCAGGAGTTGGTATAGGGGATATGAGGGTGCTGATTATGAATGGATCGGCTTTAGCCAGTCAGATATGTCAACAAGTTTGAGATATGGTTGCTCTAGTTATTCGATAAATCATTCGAATATTTATTCGAAATTCGGCTCCTAATGTTCGAATATAATCGACATTCATTCATTCGATGTTTTTGAATTTCCAAATTTATTCGAAATTCATACATTCGAGAATTTTTGGACCTCGAATTTATTCAATATTCGTTTATTCGAGATTTTTTATTTTCGAATTTATTCGACATTCGTTTGTTCGAAATTCTTCCTTTTCGAATTTATTCGATATTCATTCATTCGATGAAAAATTTTCGAATTACCCTATACAAAGCCCTCGCCGCCATAGAAGGGACGCGTGCCGTGCTTGCTTACAGGATTCCGCACCCACTTTGCACTGGTGCGCGTGAGCCAAGCGGCAATCGCGCGAACGCAGCCTCGTCTAGCATCGTCGCTCGCGACGTCGCGCCGAAGTGTCAAAAACAAACAAAATGAAACATTTTTTTGTACAAAAAACTGAACAATTAGTGCTGCGTCATTTGAGAACATGTATGTCGGTGTCAAACTAATCCTTGTCTATACATGTCGCGGCACCGTATGAGTCTCCTCATCGCCGAAGGCATTTGTACTAGTAAGTTAAGGCAGCGGGTTAGCATCGCCGAAAGGGTGCTAATCTCAACTTGCAATCTAGGCCACATCTCACAGCAAACTAAGATAACTATATGGTGGCAAAAAGAATCCTGAAACAAAATAAAAAAAAGGAAAATTTGAAAGAAATTGAGGAGTTCCGGAGTCAAACGAGTCTTTTGTTCTTTTTTGAAAAGAAAACAAATATGAACCAAATAAAAAAAAACTGAACAAGTCTCTTTCAATTTTGAACCTTTCCGCGGTGCGATGGATGATACCACGCGTTGAAATTTGTAAAAGCCATTTTTTCTGTGTACCACGCAACTTTCAGCGGAAGTCGCGACATCGCGCGCATACTGACTACGGCGGCAAGCTTTGGCGGCGAGGGCTTTGTAGTATAACGCCACACAGCCGAGATAGTTGGCTACAAATTCGCAGACCCAACCACCGGCGACTAGAACGTAGATGTCAGAAGATTATCAATGTCTGTGCTGGGCCCGCAAGTCATGTGAAGACGAGACGTATAAGTCTAGGTGAGTGAGCCCCGAAACTTTTACACACCTTTCATGCTCACTTACAAACTCTTTATCGGACATTCACGTGTACTACAAGATTTATGTCCGATGCGAGAACCAAATAAACCAGAAACAAGCTAAATTTTTTGGTTTTGGAAACAACAGTTCGCGAGATTCTTTATACGGAACTTCAATGTCAACTTTTTGAACTCCTGTTCAAGACTCACGAGACGTTTATGGGAGACTAAAACCTTAAAAGAGAGGATTCTTCTGGTTTGAATATATAAAAACTCTTAGTGAAGCTCTCCTATATAGCAAAAACAAGCTGCAAAATTATGCTTACGGCAAACATTACCTCCTGGCAACTTTTGTTAACTTATATCGATGCGTTTTCAATCTCTAATTTGCTCAGTTGCTCCTCTCATTGTACATTAAATCACCGCTCCATATTTGCTACATGAGAATATGTGTCAATGAATTTAGGGCGTCATGAAGTAAGATTGCTAAGCCTGATATCGCCGGGTTTGAACCAAGCAGCAGCGTTATCCGTGATCTCCCATAACTTTCAAGAAGATTTTGCCCCACTTTCTCTATCACATTTTTTACATTTCCTCTTCCCCTCTAAAGGTTTTTTTTGGTCAGAAGCTTCTCCAAATTTTTGGATGTCGTAGGCAGATTTTCAAAGCTTGGAACTCTTGTATCTTTTCAAGTTCGTTCTCTCGTTTGTTACTTATCTTTCTAGAAACCTTTTTTCTTAGCAGCACTCTCTTTTGCTCAAATAAAAGGAATAGTTAGATTTAACAATCAATCTGATGTGAAATTAGCTTCTGGAGCTTGCTTTTAAAGCTGGGGTTTTCCTAGATATTCGCAAAATGTTCGGAAAAATGCCGACAGTCTCTTAACTACCATGTCTCATAAAGTCCTTCAATTTTCACAGCAATAATTCATACATTTCTTAATACGGAGTTACTTTCGATAGAGCAAAGCGTGCTCTACAAAACTAGATGTGTGCGTTTGCACGCTTCGCTACATCTCGTCAGGGATATAATACATATAAATTTTTAGCTCTTTACACGTTTTAGTTTCCGAAAAATATGGGATGTAACAATAGACTTGCGAGTACGGAAAGTTAAATGATAGTTGTAATAACAGCACAGCTCGCTTTTCGCACAAAATTTTCCTTTATTCGTTTTTCAGCCTGTGAAAAACTACAGTAATGGCATAAAGTGTTTGTTGTGAAACACACAGCGAACACGGTTCCGTAGGTTATTTCTGAACGAGATGTCAGATATCATATCCTGAACTTTTAGATTTCTCCCTAAAGGTCGAGCGTATATTGCTTCACTTTACCGAACAATGCATGCAACTTACGAAGCTTCCGACTTACAAGGGAATGGTCAGAAGTCGAAGTGGCCAAACCAGAGAAACTGTATACCATTTGATGCAGTATAAAACGCTGACTTCGAATCTGACCTCCTTACCTGCTTCCCGCTTCTGTGGACGAAGCTACAAGGGTTTTATTGCAAAAAAATCATACATAAAAACAGCGAAATTGAGCACATTGTTGCGCTTTTAGCTCAGCTTCTGGCTTCAAAAATTTTAGGTAACTTAGCTGCATGTTTTGGTCCAGTATTGAGGCGAACGAGGCTCTGTACTGCTAAATTTCAATTTCACGCATAATTTTTTAGGAAAATAATGGTCTTTAATGGCTTATAACTTAGTCCAAAAAAGCGATAAGCAGGTAAGGAAGACAGATTTAGAGTCAGCGCTTCATGCTGCATCTAACGTATGCAGCTTGTCTGGAATGGCCACTTCGATTTCTGACCATTCCCTTGTTAGCGCGACCTTTTGGAAAGGGAATTATTCTAAGTCATCTTCAAACGCTGATTCCGAATATGCTATTCCTAGCTGCCGAGCACCATTCCGAAGCGAGTTATGGACTTTTTCCTGCGCCAAATTGGCATTCTCACCCACTCACTAGCATCACGGCATCACCTAAGTGCTAATACACTTGCGTTAAGCTTCTTCTTAGTGAGAAAAGGTTGATTTGTGTTATTTTAACATCTCAGCGCCTTTTTCTTTTCAGATTTTATCTAGAGACAGTCTTTCCTATTTAGTAGTATGCCACTTTTGCGTAGGAAAAAGCCCATAACGCTTCGCAATGGTGCGCGGCAGCTAGGACTAGTACACTTGAATCAACGTTTTGTTGATTCAGTATATATATGTCCCTCGCCAAAAAGCTGTCCCTCGCCTGAGTTAGAATCCTCATTAGTTAGAAATTGCAAGATGTATGACTTGTCGCTGAAAAAAGTGAAACTGAAAATAGAACTCTGTGGCAACTTCATAGCTTTGCGTTCTTTTGAATGTAAAGACTGAGCCGTTTAATAACTATAATCATATGTTCAGAATGAAAATACATTGCACATATCAAAAGCCGAGTTCACTTATTGCGACATTCACCATTCTTGCCATCATCATGCTTTTTATGAGGTGAGGTGGCTTTTCACGCTCCAACTAGTAGCTTGAAAACTGTGCCTTTAGTTGTACTACTAGCTGATATACACAATTAACCTGATCCTACTCCTTTTAGAGAAAAAAGTTTGGTTTGGCCTTATTTAAAGGATTCTGTGTGAGATGACAGTTCGTTAGCACCTCTTTGGCTCTTTTCGATTTTAATCTCAGCAAAAAGAGTGGGTTGCGAAAAACTGCGAAACAAAATATGAAGCAACAAAAAGAAAAGTGGACCTGGGTTGAGACATTTAATATAATCCAAAAAGCTATTAAAAGTATGTTTCTGACTGTTTTCCGATAAGCAAATGTATTGAATGTGTCAAAGTTTTGGAAAGCATCCTCACAATTACTGGAACTAGAGTGGTTTCCTTCCCATGTTTTTCGTGTTTCTCGATTCATCCTGTTTACTAACTACGCTTTGCTGGCTTGTCACCCACTTTCGGATGAGCAACAGCATTGCGCATTGGGACCGTAGACAGCTGTGTTTCACGTATGGCTTTCTCGGAATAAGGCAGGTGTATTCAAGCGTCGGTGGTGTCAGGTTGGTGGATACCTGGCAGGAACCAATCGCAGACGTTTTGGACAGCCCGGAAAGGTGGCAGTGGCATTCCCCAATGCCAACCACCTGACTTCCCTTGACCAAATAGAAATTTTTCTATCTCAACATCTGAGGCCCTTATTCGCTGTCTGTTTGTTCTGGTAACAAATGACAGGGTAGTCTCTTACTCTAGCAGTGTTTCCTTACTCACACAGGCTTTGGCACACGTTTACGTGTATGAGATAAAGATAAAGATGTTTATCTCGTATTGATTAGTGAGAATTTTGGATCTCATCGTACAAAGGTTCGTATCGTATCATCTCATCTATATATATAAAACTCAAAAATTGTCAGTTTGGAGGGTATGTGCGTTATAGAAACGCGCGCCACTCAACCGATTCAGCTGAAGCTTTGCACACATATATTTTCGACCCTTGCGCAGATGATAGGTTACTTTCTGCGGCGATTCGTTGGGTCCTTCTATCGATTTATTGATTTGTTTACATTTTCCTTAGGAATTGAAGGGTTATCATGTTCAATCAAGCATTTTCCATACTCATGTAAAAAAGGGCGGTGAAGCTCATTTTCACCTCAGGATCACGAGGATGCGGTTTCCAAGCGGATGTCCCAGGGTAAGTCATCATACCATATAGGGCGGGGGGGGGCGGCTCGCAGTGCGGTGAACCATGGCCCGGGCTGGACCGGGAAAGCCAACTAGTCATATTATAAAACTAAATAAGCACTGCCCCCCCCTCCCGAGAATGAGTCGCGAAATTTTTGAAAGTTACTTAAATGTGTTATAAAAAATGTGCAAAGGACTTGTCTTTACTTGTTAATTAAAATAATTTTTAAAAATTTTTAAAGATACAAATTAGCCTTGTAAAAAAATTTTTTTCGGGGGCGTGGCTATGGGGACCCGCAAAAATTTTTTCGGAATGCGTGGCTAACGCCACGCACCTTCATTAGATAAATTTTTTGTCGTTCCCCCCCCCCCCCCCCCCCCGAGCCGAAATCCTAGGTACGCCACTGGCACTGCGCTCTAATAGGATTCCAGTCGGTCTTGAAGTGCATTCATAACCGTGTAGACTGAGCATTCATATGCATAGTTGCTATATATTTTCTATAGTAAAGACAAAAACAAATCTGTGCTCAAAGATATTGTCTTTTCTGTTTTCGCGCTTTATTCAATACTTTCCTAAACACGTAAGTAGACTAAAGGCCAATTATGGTTGCATCCTTTATCTGTATTTCAAATCCTCATATGTCGAATGAACCCATTGTGTTTTGCCGCTATCGTTTCCATTTCTGATGCGAATTGATGTAAACAGTATATGTGTAGAGAAGTGGGAGACAGACAAGGTTTTTTAGATGGAGATCAAAACTTAGGATTTTCAAAAGAAATCTTGCGATTGGTTACCTTTCGAATGAATCAAGCGTTGTGCCAATGTTTGGATGCCATTTTGTAGAACTTTCATTGCTTGCCGCATCTATTAGGTTGTCCAGAAAATAATGCCTCATTGTATTCTACCTCGACAGGGTTATCACAAAAAATAGTAAATGGGCTACCTTTTGATAAAGCAAAGCAGGCTCTACCGCGGAAACGTTGTTTCACCTGAAGTTCGAATTTGAAACATAAAAAATTTCAGATACCCAAAAAATCGTATGTTTTCTATAAATGTTTTAGGGATCTTCACTCAGCATCAGCATGTCTTCTTTACATCAGACATTCACGTGTTAAGGTTAGAGCACGTGAAATAAAAATGGTCAAAAGTGCCTGTTCTCTAATTAATTTTTTGAAAACTAAACCTTGGAAAAAACTAAAATCTTTTGTGATTATAGTTTCAAAGGTCTACATTACAGAATTAACTAATTGGGAGAAGCTCAAGATTGCTTTGACAACAATATGCCAAATTTCATTTCTTAATTTCTAGTCATGAGAAAAAACGGAACATGGCATACGAGAGTCTGATGTAGAGATTGTGTGTGAAGCCAGCAGTTTCTAGGATTTTTCTGTAAGGCTAAACGATTTTTCAAAATTTTCCAAGCGTTTAATGCCTTTTTGAATTTGACTACAAACTTTATGCAAATCAAACTCTGGCGCGAATGTTTAAGCTTCACTTTGGAGAGCCTGCTTTGGTCAATCGGATTAGTGCTCCATTTACTTTTTTCGAGCTCACCCTGTTGCATTATCGCATGAAGAATACGATACGGCATTGAATGATGTGAGTTGTAATGAATTAGCTTTGATAGATCTGTAAGATTGTAAGGTAATTTTACAAACATATCCAGAAAATCCACGGATGTCTCTAACCTATCAGGCCACAACTCTCACAAGGAAAAGATGCTTGGTCGAAGTGGCTTTTCTTTATGAGATGTACACTATCTTGCAGAGCATGAAACGCTGATTACGAATCTGCTTTCGATATTTGCAAAGCGGTTTTGGGAGTGGAGTTATGGGAATTTTTTGATGCAAAAATTTGAGAACGCTACAAAAATCATTCACAAATCTAAGCCGTGAGCTCAGATGGGGCCATAATCACTACCAAGACATTTTATGCAATAAATACGTTCAATCTAACAAACTTATGCAAGTCATTACTTCTTTCAAGCGCGGAAAAGACCTCAACAACTGTTTTCACCTCAAATCACTAAACTTTTACCTCAAAAAATTCCCATAACTTCTCTCACAGAAGCGCTTTGCAAATACGGAAAGCAGGTTTGGAATCAGCTTTTGCGCTCTACAAGATAGTGTACATTTCGTATGGAAACGCCACTTCGACCAAGTATCCTTCTTGTCAGTGGGGAGCGTGTGGCCTGTAGTAAACCTCCGTCAGGGCATGTCCCCTGAAGGGGATCGGAGTCGATCTCTCGGCACCCCAGTCCAGCATACGGCGAGCTATCGATCTGGGTGCTGATCGTTTTGCAGACATGACAAAACTTCTCAAGGTAGAAATAGCAGCAGTGTTTGTGCGGGTATGGCCAAGTGGATAAGGATTGCGAGGCAACATAGACGGTCATGGTTCGAGACTGCTTAGCAGAGTCATTTTTGCTGCATCGGCGCGCAATCATTGATAGGGCACACCAATGAAAAAAAATCGATGGTGACCGCTATCAAGAAACTCGCCTAGCAAATAAATGGAGAGAATAATTTCATGGTATTTTAGCGCGAATTTTCATTCGAAAAACACATTTTTGGAACAGAAAGACAACGAAATGAGCAAATAAATATTCATTCATTGCAGCATTCAAAAAATAAGGCAAATCCCGCGAAAAAAGATTAAAAAACTTGATTTTCCGTTTTCTTGCCTGCGAACAGTTGATCATCGATTCTTTTCCTCCGCAGGTCCCCCAAATATGTGCAATTTCGCGCACTCTCGTCTGCATTATTAGGCGTCTTGAGGCGTATTGTAAGTTACTCAGGAGCAACTTACGAGGATTTTCTCTGCGTTTCCTCTTTAGCACACTATTTCTGGACATCATCGCTCATATCATCTCCCATGACCCGGCAGGGAGATCATCTCCCTGCCGAACTTCACCTGAGGCTCACCTCTCAGGTGACATTGCATGGGGAAATGGGCGGTCGTTATTTTACTGACAGAACCTCACATGAAGTTCTCAGGGGAGATCATCTCCCATGACCGAGCTTTACTACGGGCCTATGTGTTTTGTGGTCCTGACGCGGTAGCCTGTACAGTAAACGTGAAGGCCATTCCCGTGTCGCAGGTATGCCTCTTGATGTCTCCAATGAAGTTTTGAGCATCTTCCAAGAAGCACAAAAACTTAAAAATTTGACTTGCTGTTGGTGTTTTTTCTGTAAACTAAATATTATACATGTGTTTGTATAACAATCGTTTGTATAACAATACATGCTTACCCTCCACCAAACAAGCAACTTCTCGACCTAGCATCGTAACGTTTCGTTCCTGTCATTAGCGCAGTTCTTTTAGGTACGCCTTAAGACAGTGAAGCTCCTTTTTTGCAAGTTGTAGGAGTGGGTTGCTTTCAGTCGTTATTTTCTTTTATCAGTCCGAGGTATAGGCGTTTCCCATACGTATAGCGGGCGTGGCCTGCAGACATTTGAACACGTTAAAAAAACTTGTTGAACCTCCACTCCAAAGCATTACTTTTTGTACTCTCTAGCTGCCAAAAACTGCCACGCGCATACGTTGGCAAACGTCGGCAAAGCTCCGCCCGCTATACTGTGGGGAAAGGACGATATAATGCACGCTGTTGTTCATTCGCATTCGGAAAACGTATAAGTGTGAACTAAGTAAAGACGATGATACCACCGCAGCGTTGCTTCCAGTAGACATCGTAAGGATGCGTACTCAGAGAAATTGTTTAGTGATCGGAACGACTAGTGCTGGGTTAAGAATTTCGGCGCTTGTTGTAGTGTGTATTGATCTAGAAATGAAGAGTACTTTATGCATTACAGAGCAGTGGTCGCATAAAAGGGAACTACAAAAGTTCCCAATAACTATATGCTTGTCTATGTTAACATAACACATGGACATTCAATTTTTCTAATAATATTCGAAAATCGAATGATATTCGAAAGTCGAGTGGTATTCAAAATTCCAACGATGTTCATATTCAAATACTTAATTTCGAATTGTCTAAGCATCCTACACAGTGTGCATATCGATGGAGTTTTGCCGCATCACTACGGTCAAAAGACAATTGCTAGGGGGGCGAAATCAAATGGTCGGCTCACCACGACCGAGTGCTCCGCTTCCAGATGTAACTTCTTGCTTCGGAAGCAACCTTTTACAGCGCGCTGCTTAAGGTAGGGGCCCGCTATAGCGCAGTGCAATTTCATCGAGCCCTACTTTGGATGGACAGTGACTTCAATAGTTTAAGTGTTACTCTGCTCTTGGGCACTAACGAATAATTCAAAAGTGAATTTAGCACAAGGTTTTGTTGAAAATGATGCCAATTAAGCTGCTGAATAACCTTGTTTAGGTTCCTAACCGAACAACAAGCAATATGGCTCGCACTATCCTGAAAAAAATTTGGTGTTTCATGTTGTTGGCTCATATATATGTCAACCCTAAAAAGCTTGAAATCGTAAAACGATTAGTGCTAATACTTTGGAAGAGCGAAACAGTTGACTCCGAGGCACTGCAAAATACTCGGTAGGAGCATAAAGCCAAGCACTAATTCGTTCTTAGCAGGCCGGTTGAAAAATAGCGTGCATCTCAAATGAAGATGATCTTCGTTGAAATAGACAAGTACCAGTTGGATGAAATGTTTTTCGTTCATTTAAGTTATAAGAATAGTGAAACTGCTTCCTCATCCCAATCCATGCTTGCAGGGATGGGCGGATCTCATCAGAAGCTGCAGAAAAAGTCAAAAACCAGTTTGAAAATCGGTTCGAATTTATGTCAAGAAGGTAAGAATAAATTTCAAAACTTTCACCCTCAAATTAGCAACTTTTTCCAACATTTATTTTATTTATTTACTTATTTATTTATTTATTTATGCATTCAATGATGCGCCTAACGAATATATTAGTTCAACAGGATTACTAATTTGCAGTAAACGATAAGATGAAGAATAAGTGCTGGTTTTTCGAAAATCAAACTTTGCTGCAAAAGTAAAACTACAGCCCACTCTAAATAGGTGTATAGGTAATTGAGGAAGTATGAATAGTCATGCTGCAACCATGGCGTGAATAGCCTTTAAGCTATCACTTTCAAGCGAAAAAAGAGAAAGACACCAGAGTGAATGGTCTTAATTCCATGCGTACCCCGGCAGGAATACCTCTTTGAGCTTTCTCTTACATCGTTCCCATGGAGAAAGAAGGCAGCAAATAAAAGTGCATTTGTATAGTATTATGAATGAGGTCGTGAAGACCCTATGAGTGAGGCTTAATCCACATTGAGAGAACAGTTAAAAAGAGTTTGATTTTTGGAGAAGCCAGCCCTTGTACATGTCAATAATTATGAAACAGCTGAACTGAAACTAAAAAAGGAACTAATAGTAAGTATTAGCTATTTTCAGAGTATTTCACTTGTAGTAAATCAAGTGTATTGATTCTACTTCAAAAGTAGCTACATTCTCGGCTTGCAGCGTATTACACGGTAGTGTACAAAGCCATCGTGGAATTCTATAAAAGAAACTGTTGAAAACGAAACGAAAACGTTTTCTTTAGATACGTGAATAATAATTGTGAAACCCACCATTTCTACTAGTCGGTCTGAAAATCCAATATTTACTTGCATTGATTCTAAACTCTTTGCGAATAAGTCGGAAAGCAAAGACAAGATCCAAAAATATACGCCTATATTCTGAACTTTTCATCGCCAAGGATTTGAGCCTAGTTTCGTAGTTGGGCATTTCAATATAATTAAACTTCCGTCGGCACCTCATATATAGCATTTTCCAATTTACGTATGTCTCTCTTGAGAAAAGGACTCCACACAACAGAACAGTATTCCAAGTGAGGCAAAACGTAGGCATTATAAAGTCGTTTGAGAATTGAGGGATTATCGGTATGTACATTGCGGAAAATAGCAAATAATACTGAAAATGCTTTGTTGACTGCATAATCAATATGATTGGCAAAATTCAATTCAAAATCCAAGAGTACACCCAAATTCTTGGCAATGGAGCAGTTCTTCAACCTAATTCCATCTATCTCATAAACTGGGAAGTCATCATCTCCAAAATGCATTACAAAGCTTTTTTCCAAGTTAACAGATATGCCAGAGCAAGCAGCCCATTCCATCATGTTTCCAAGAGAAGCTTTTATTGCTGAACGGGCCTGTATTTTATTATAGTTATCAAAACTTTCGTAAATCTTTATGTCGTCAGCATACATCTGAATTGACAAATGTATGGACGTTTTCAAGATGGACGGAAGTTCAGCAGCGTATAGTATAAAGAGCAATGGAAAAAGGACTGCTCCCTGCGGAACACCACTTGCACAAAGTTGCCGTTCAGAAAAGTGTTGTTCAACTTTGATCGTCATGCCTCTGTTGTATAAGTACGATTTCAACCAATTCAAAAGGCTTCCTCTCAAACCGATTTGTTCTAGTCTGTACAAAAGCTTTCCATGATGAACCTTATTGAACGCCTTGGAAAGATCAACGTAGATTACATCAACGGAATTACCACTATTGAGTGCCAAATTCCAATCAAAAACAGAGTCCACAAGATTAGTGGTAGTGGATGATCCTTGCATAAAACCATGTTGACTAATAGGAATCACGTTGAGCCTTTCAAGCCACGAAAGCAGTCTAGCACGCAGGACTTTCTCCATTACTTTTACGGCCGTAGGAGTCAAACTAATGGGCCGAAAATCTGAAAGCAGGCGTGGGTTAGAGACTTTAGGAATCACTGTAATTAATGCCTCCTTCCAGATCTGCGGTACCTCACCGAGCATCATTGATATGTTAAAGATATGGGTAAGAGGTCCACAAAGAAATGAGGCACACTTTCTAAAAACAGTCTGTGGACTTCCATCAAACGGTTCATTAAGAGATGGTTTCAATTTGGTCAAAATTTTCTGGACTTCTGGAGAACTAAAGTAAACTTTCGATAAAGACCGTCGACTAGTAGAGGTGGGTGCGAAACAATCTAAGCGTTCAATTAGGTCACTGGAATCGAAAATTCCGGCGAAATAGCGGACTAAAGCTTATGCTTTTTCTGCATCCATGTAATAGGTACGGCCGGTTTGGTCAGTCAAGGCAGATGACGATTTGGTTTGATTTTTTGGTTTATATATTCAAAAAAGAATTTCGATTTTGCTTTTCTACCCAGATTTTGCTCTCGATTGGATGAATATTTCTTTAAATGGTAATCAATATCTTGGCATACTTTCTTGTACATAGGATTGGATGAAGGATTTACCATATGGTTAAACAGTCTTTCCTTCTGTGCAAAAAGATTTCGTATATGTTTAGGATATAGTAATTTATGTCGGGCCAAGGTAAAAGATACAAATTTTGCGAGAGCACTGTATATCGTGGTACAGAATCTATAGTAAACGTCATCAGTCGAGCAGTACTGATCAAATAAGCCCAACCAATCGATATCAGCAAGATAGCTATTAAGAGAAACATAGTCAACTTTTCGAAAGTCGGGTCGGGGTAGTACACAGGAGGTAAAAGCTGTGGTAGAAATAAAAAACTGAATTATTCAATGATCAGAATTTGCGAGAGAGGGCAAAGTAAAAATTTCAGAGATATTAGGAGAGGTCGAAAACACAAGGTCAAGAACATGGTTGCAGTGCGTAGTTTCTCTAACAAATTGTTCAAAGCCAGAGTTACGAAAGAATTCAAAAAACATTTGAGAAGTTTTATTAAGAGGAGATTCTTTGATCCAATCAACTTTCAAAGTCACCCAAAACAATTGTGTTTTCGTGATCACTCACAAAATTACAAAGTAATTCAATCAACTTATCATCACTTGAAGCCGTGCTATGCGGTGAACGGTAAACTGCAATGAATCGCAAGCAAGTAGGCTGTTGTGTGTAGAAATTACATCAATGCAAAGAATATTGGCCACGGTGTCACAATCAGATACGAATGATTTTACTGGGAAAGTAATTTTTGATAAGCAGCAGATACCACCCCCTCTACGGCTTCGCCAGGCTGCACGAGAAATTAAATAAGGTAAATCTCCCACAATCTCGCTATCTCGAATTTTATTTGTTAGCCATGTTTCAGTTACAAAAAGAATGTCAGGTTTGTTATCCATCAAAAAGGCTCGAAAATGATGCAACTTTTTTACAAGGCTTCTGGCATTGAACATTGAAACTTTAATTTTATCCTGCACACCATGCCGTATTATGCGTTTCCCGATCTCACTTTAGATATCTCCGAAACCTTGACGACCTAACCTTTATATACTACTCACTCACGACTTGGTTTACCTTTATTTCTCTCGCGTGCCACTTGCCTTAGATCAAATTCGCGCTTGCGCTCGTCCTCAGTCGTACTCCTTCGTATGTAGACGTTGGAGTGATTCATTTGACGGAGAAAGCGAGCGTTTTAGCCAAAGCTCTCCGCCAATAAAAGGTGGAGGGCATGACAACTTTAACCAAACGTGGACGCGAATTGTTCGGCTTACCTATCCAGTAAACCTCCGAAGGGACGCAAGTCACGTCCACAACGTTGAGGATCTCACATACTTTGTCTTGGAGATAACCTCGACGTTGGGACGGGCGCATGCCTTCCGGAGGTTCCTGGATTCCACTAATGACCAGGCTTCTCGAACGTTTCTCTGATTCTAGTACTTCAGATAATCCAGAAGAAAATTTTCGGCCAATACAGAGAGCATTTTCTGGATTGCTGGATCTTTGTTAAGTTCGGAAATCGATTTGATCAGGTCCTGTATTGACATAGTATTGAACTCGTTCCTTGGTAAACCTGCATTAGTTTGATTCCTCTGTGTTTCCTGAGGAGCGCTGATCCCATGAACTTTGTTGGAGCGAGTGCGCGCCGTTCGATTACAATTTTCAGTAAACAATCACCAGAAAACTGGATAAATTCGAGAAACTAGAGGAAATAAGGTATCAAGGACAAGAATAGTACTGCCAATCAAGATCGGTACCGAAAAAGATCCAACACAAAGCAAAAAAGCGCAAAGATGCACACTCTGGATAAAAAAATGGAAGTAGAAATGAATTTACGATGAGAGAGTCGAAGGACACCGCCGCACGTGGAGCCGACACGTTTGTGAATGACTCCAAATACAAAGTTTTCTTGTATTTGGAGTCAGGCTTAAGGCTTTGGCCATACTTTGCCCGTGTTACCAGTGTTGAAAGTGTTGCCAGTGTTGAAAGTGTTGAAAGTGTTGCCGGTGTTGAATGTGGGAATCATCAGTCTTGCAGTTTCATTCTTCCTCAAACGATCTCACCGACTGGTGAGTTCGTCTGGAATAGAAATGGGAAATGGGAAATGAGAAATGTGACTGAAATAAATTAAGAAATGCTTTCGCAAAAGCTCCTCGAACAATTTTTTTAGAAAGTGAAGGACTTGTTCAAAAGAAGCAATCTCCAACATTTGAGAACGCTGCGAGACCTTCCATAGGTCTTTTGCTCGCTAATCGCAGAAGCACCGGATTCGACACCTAACACGCATTTTAATTAGACCTTACATCTCAAGTGTTGGAGATTGCCTATCTAGAACAAGTCCTTCACTTTCCAAAAAGTTCGTTCGAGGAGCTTTTGCGAAAGCATTTCCTATTTCATTTCAGTCTCATTCCTCATTTCCCATTTTCATTCCAGACGTACTCACCAGCCGTGAGATCGTCCGAGGAAGAATGAGACTGCAAGACTGATGATTCCCATATTCAACACTTTCAACACCGGCAACAACTTCAACACTTTCAACACTGGCAACACTTTCAACACCGGTAACACGGGCAAAGTATGGCCAAAGGCTAAGCTTACTATTACCATCATTGCTAAGTTTTTACTGTCGTAAGAGCACACGTGAGATTATGTTGGTAATTTGGTAATAAGACTCAGGGTTCAGCACAGATCGTATGGAAACGAGCTGGACTTTGTTTTCGATGCGAAAGAGCAAGGGGGTTTCGTTTTCGAGGTCAAAAAGACGCAAAAAATGCGACGTTTTTTTAGTCGACGCTTCGTTTTTCAAGGACTTTTTACATATGGTTTGAGGTAAAGGGGATATCGTAAATTTAGGCGAAAGTCAAAGAGACTTCGTTTTCAAAAAGCCTAGAAACGGACTCATACCGGGCCTTGATAAGACTTTGACATGCACTGCAAAGTTAATGGTAAAACGCAGGTAAACGCAAACAGCAGATTTCTAAAACAGGAAAAGAAATTTTAGAGGTGTCTAAAGAGCTGTCGCAGGCTTGCGGGTTATATCTGCGGCATCAATCCTACTCGGAGGTGCGCTTTTATGTTCTACGTGCACTTGCGGAGTCTACCAAAAGGAAGAGGAAGTGTAACAGAAAACTCCACCAGCCCAATAATTGACCGTAAAGCCGTCTAAGCTTATAATCGATCATCAAAGACAGCACAACTATGTCAAAAAGGTTTTGACCCTTTTTCAGACTTGATGATAACCAGCTGTCGAAACGCAACTCTAATAAAAGCTCTTTGCAGTCTGTTTGACATACTTTAAATTATCCAGATATCGTATGTCTGTTTTTCAAACTTCTATCGATCCCCTCTAGCTCTCGCAGCCATATATCCTTTGGGTCAGCAGGCATAGCAGTTGGAGGGCGGGGTTTCGTGACCTAATTAAGTCCAGATAATGATCAGAGAGCACGCGCGCGATAGAGACGCATACTACGTAAGGTAGGTGCCATAGTAAGCGAATATTTTGTTCAAGTTGGGGTCCCGCGCAGAACTGGCATCACTAATCATTGTGACATAATGCCAACTTGGCGTTGTGCCACAATGATTAGTAACGCCAGTTCTGCGCGGGACCCCAACTTGAACAAAATATTCGCTTACTCTGGCACCTACCTAACGGGTGCGAGCGGTCTCAACTGAGTCACAAAACCTCGCCTTTCAGCCGCCGGGCGTCAAATCATAGGTTACTCTTCCATCAGATAGCATACTTTATTTCAACAAAGACGCTTCGAGTTCTGTTGGGATCTCGAAGTGGCTTTTTGCGATAAGAATAAAGTCAAATCTGGAAAGTATTGTTGTCACATAGGTATTGTTACACTCTGACTTTTCACCACAGTTATGAAAGTTTTGTTACACTTTGACTTTTCATTGCAACAAGTTTTGATTTTTCGATTTCAATCAAGTTTTGATTACAATTCGATGAAGCAAAGAAAGCTTCAAAGGTAGTCTTCAAATATTTGCCTCAACTCTGATCCTGCTAGGTTTGAACTTATGCTGGTTCGAAGCCAAGTTTATGCTGGTTCGAAACTAAAATAAGCATCCAAATGTTCAAAACTGAGAAATAGTTGAGACTGGGCCTAAACAAAATTCAGACAAAATTCATTCAAACAAATTCAACAAATATTCAATTTGTTCACGCATATACATTCCTCGTCAAACAATAACTTGCTAAGTTTTCTCTATAGCTATAAGTCAAGACAATGAATATGGGACCAAGGCCTTTTAGGTATCAACCCATATTTTTCAGCTATAATTACGCGTACTGCCATCTACAGTACAATTACAGTAAATCTGAAAGGCTGACAGAAAAGGTAGAGGTTACCCCTAGATTTAGCGTAAAAGAAAGCTTATGGAGTAAGTTTATCCCAGGATTATAGTCATTTTTATAAAATTCAGGTATTGACACACATGGTGTGTCAAGCGGTCTCACGCGGTAGTCACTGTTTGACACACATGTGTGTCAAGCGGTCGTCAATGTGTTAAAGGGCTCACAAAAAATCCCATTTTTTCGACTTCCAGCTAAGGAAAAAATGTGGTAAGAGTATGTATGAATGTAATAAATATGCGTAAGCGAGTAAGAGATCAGTATTTTTTGCAGGTTCAAAACTTTTTTTTTTTCGAAGTTCAAAATTTTTATTTTGTGCTCACTTCTTTATTTTTTAATTATTTTTAAAATCTCGAAAACATTTAAGCTTTCTTATTTTCTGACTTCAAACTCCGTTTAAATCCAAGTTAGTTTGAACTTCTTCTTGTGAAACTTGATTTGCCTTATCGAATGGTAGCCTGAAACCTGATTTGAAACGAGAAGTTATGACTAACTGCGGTGAAAAGTCAAATGTAACAAAACTTATGGTATGATCAAACACGTAAAATGCAGACCTTTGGACTTTGCAATATGCAACTCTCGGCATGAACTTTTTAATGCGTTGATGCTTTCTCCTATAGGCGGAATTTGATTTTGCTGCTAGCAAGCTAATTCTTTTATACTAAAAAGCCATGTTAAACATTTACGGGCAAAGTCATGTCGTAGCACAGGCGCCCAAATAATTTTCGAAAGGTTATGTAAACATATGACTAGACTATTTTACATTTATTGGAGAGATAAAGATAGCGATCTCCACCCAATTTGTATTATATGTTTGTGTTTCTACATTTTTTTCTTTTGAATGGCGGACCTTGTAAATGAACAAATAATAAAAATAAATAAGTAAATAAATAAATAAATAAGTAAATAAATAAATAAATAAATGAAGCCATATTAGCTGTGCCAAACTTTGCAATTCAGTTTGGCAACTCTGAAAATATTCGTCACACGCTTTTTCATTTACATATTTCAGCACACTTTCAAGAGAATAAAGGTGAGTTTTGTAATGACCTATTGAACCAAGTCCACCTGAGACTAAATGTACGATTGGCTTGAAGTGTTATAAAAGAATGCTATTGCATGTAGCAAAATGTACGCTAGCACTGTGCGGCATAAGTAAGAATATGAATGTAAATCTAGTTGTAAATGTAGTTCATCGCTTTCAATTTTTTCGAAATATTAGGAATGAAAGACTGTCTTTATCGTGCATACATGTACTTATATTCAAGAACGTCTGGAATATTGAAAGAAAGGCTTTAAGTTTTTATAAATCAGCGCTGTTTGTCAGTTTGCAACTGTCGAAAAATTCGTTTCGCTGTGTTTGTAATCGAGATTCATACAAGAGAATCATCGCAGAAATTTAGTTTAAAAAATCCTTGGTTTTGAAAACTACTATTAAGAGTTTATCTTGAGCGTATTTTCCTTCTGCTTTGCGGGCCTCACACACAAGATGAAGAAGGAACAATGTGAAGATGACAAATTACAAATGTTTGCAAACGATTGAACTTTCTTTGACCTGATTTCAAATATGTTCACTTGTTAGAGGATGCAATGCAGCTTTCAATGCGTTTTCAGCTTTGCCTACTATTTTGCCAGTTGGAGTGTGCAAATACGTAGCGAAAGCAGAAAAATTTATTCCTTCAAAATAAGCAGGCGATAATGCTCTGCAAGTACATTGATGCAAAAAAACAAGTAAAAAGGAAAGGAAATGTATAGTATTAGGTTGTCCCATAAGTCTTTTCATTTTGAACTTTTGCTGTGATAAGTCATATACTTCTTATTCTGAGTAGACATCAAGATACCGTTCGATAGAGCAAAGCAAACTTTATAGAATGGCGTTTAAGCTTTTGCACCATCTTTGATTCACCTCAAGTTTAAAACCAAAATGTGATAAGTTTCGGATGCCCAGAAAATTGATTTTTTTATATCCTCATTCAGAAAAGTCCTACAGATCTCTCACTCGCTCACGCATATACGCTACAGATAAGACACTCATAAGTGCTGTTGCTGGAATTTTTTATAAGCTAGAAACAAGAGAAGGAAAATTTCCATGTTTTCACCAAAGTGAAGCTTTGCTGTACTTACACTAACACTTATTTGCTACATGACCTTAGAAGTACAACCGTGAGTTTTTAGCTTTCTATAAGCTCTAGTTTCCGGGAAATATATAATTTAGCTTTCTTCAAAAAAGGTTTTTCGCGTTTAACTTAACATTTTTCGGAAGCCAGAGCTCATAAAGAAGCAAAAATTTACGGTTGCACTTCTAAAGGCTTGTAGTACATAAATGCTTGTGTAAGAACTGCATATCATATTTTGTTGAAAACATGGAAATTTTCGTTTTCTTGGTTTCTAGCTGATGAAGAAATACAGCGATAGCACACATAAGTATCTGATGTGGAATGTATATGCGCGAGCGAGTGAGAAATCTGTAGGATTTTTTGAACAAAGATATAAAAAATTTTAAATTTTCCGGGCATCAGAAACTTTCTAGTTTCTGTTTTCAAACTTGAGCTGTATCGAAGCTGATGCAAAAGCATAAACGCCGTTTTATAGAGCTTGCTTTGCTCTATTGAACAGTATCCTGATGTCCATTTAGAATGAGAAATGTACGACGTATTACATGAAAACTCAAAAATGAAAAGATTTATGGGACAACCTAATACTTATTCACATCTCTTTATGACTGTACGAGCACCTCCAGAGTGCCTGTTATGTTACTGAGCGTTTTGTATAACAGCTTATGAAGCGAAAAGTTGTGGTGAAATCATGAAGACTTACTGATGATTCATGAGCAAGTATGTTTCAATTTTGTATGGTTTTCTGTATCAACAAGTTCTCCAGAGACGTCATATGGACCGCGAAAGGACCAGTCACGTATGAAGAAGTGGACAACAACGTCTTTCGCCCCAACAACCTGAAAATTGTTGAATACACCTATCCGATTCCAAGATTAGATTTTATTCAAAAACCTTCCTGCGCTAAGGTATGTATAGAATGTCCGATATTGAACGTGGAATTTCCAACTGCTCTCACAAATATGGGTTAATCATCTGGAATAACACACTAAAATTGTACTTATACTTTACCAGTGATGATGGAGTAAAGCTTAAACGCGATTGCTACTCTTCAAGAAAGTCTTTTAGTACCAAATTTCTGCACCGAACTTTTACGTGACGCACTACATCAGACATTTCCTTGCCGCCTCGCAAGTTCACTTTTACCACTTCAGATCATGCAAATGCGACTTGTTTTGCAATTACGTGCTATAGGTGCATACTTTTGCTGGACTTTTTAGCAAGCACAGCTGTTTGTCGATATCTTTACTTTTTCGTATCGTACTTATTCCTACACATATCATAAAAAGCCCAGTTTCAACATTTGTCCAAGTTCAGGCGGTGAAAAATATATCACGCGTTATATCTCCGTATGGGTTCTGAAACAAAAGCTCTCACACCAAAGGAAAACGCTTCCTTTAGGTAGAATTGCATTGGCGGCAGATGGTTTGCAAAGTCTACAAAGCTTTCTTATGTAGATCTTGGTCAATTTTTATGGCGCTACATCACCGTTATGGCTGTTATCTGTAGCGGCTTTGCCTGGCGGCTGGCTGCGGCAGCAGTCGGCTGCCCGGGTACCACTTGCACGCCTCCCTTTATGGTCACTGTGACAATGTCATTGTGTGCCTTCATGCCTATCACTAACTCAACAACATATAAAAGACTATGTTGTTGCCGACATACAAACTTCTTGCAGATGACTGACAACATTTGCAAAGTCCATCTCTTTATTAACATACGCCATGCTAGTCAAAGTAGCACGCCATACAGCATGCGCCACCACTATTGCCGCCTGCTTTTGACTTACACATCGCTTAACAAGTAATAGCAGAGAGCAAGTAGTCATAATGTTGGAGATGAATTCGGTTAATATCTATAAAGTGGACCCCGCTTCAAGGTCTTGCCAATTGCATATGTACGGCTACTATATTCCATCGACATCAACGCAACGCAGTGACCAAGAACTTTTGCTAAATGAACTTTTTATCAAAAACATTCATCTGTCATGCAAATAAATCGACTGATTTGAACTATAATCACATCTTCTATGTACAGTGGAAGGAAAAGGTTGGAATTTAGACCTTTGAAGACTGGCTAGCCATCGCCAGTAAGGAGGTTCCCGAAATTCCACCAAGGGAGATTGAGGAAGAATACAAAAACGCATTCTTGTTAAACGGCTATACAGAACTTCATCCGGTGAGAACATTTGTTTAAATTTCAGTTTCCTTTTTAGCCCAGGGAACAGGAGAGGCAGATGTGCCGCCGCTTGAAGCCTTGGCGTCGCGCGTGGATCTGTTGCATAATCCCTCGAGAATCATAGGCGTCCGGATTGACTTAAGTCATTACACATGCTATTCACTGATTATTAGCATTTGTAGTAGGTCAGTGGACGCTCTGCATTGTAATGGTCTGTGAATATCTGAGGTGCAAACAATGCAACATTTTAGCCTCTTTCTAATTTTCTAAAGAGGTATATAGTATAGGTAAAGCAAACTCTGTAGAAAAAAATGACATGGGACATAGAATAGGCAATATCATTTCAATAGTAGTGTCCATTCTTAGTTTTATTTATCTTTACTTGTTAATTTAGGATGCTATTACGACATGATTTGGGTCAAAAAACAAAAATATCTTCCTGTAAAAAAGACTTAGAAAAGTATATGTGATATAGTTTGCTTTAACTGTTTATTAACTGACCGTATTGTTGAAAGTAAGAACAAGAAAATTTGGTTCAATTGAAAAGTTTTTCTGCCGAAAACTTTAGCATTGTAAAAAATGAAAATTTTTAGAAAAATGGATGCTAAATAAAAGATTCGAAAACGGCTGCTTCTTGAATTTCACATAGTTCACTGATGTGCGAGTTTTGCAAGGCAATGTCGTGACGGCTCGGGGGTGGCACCTAGACAGTATCCCGAAGCCTACTGCTCGCTCGACAAACGATGTATTTAGCCTGCGGTCAATCCAACGGCTGCCAAAGGAAATCTTATTTAACTATCAAACTACAAGACGAAACATCATTTTACCTAGATATATATTATAGAGAACAAAGGTCCGTTCCATAGAGTGCTCAGCAGAGGTGGCTCTTTCATACTCTGAATGGATGTCGTTTTTTTAGAGAGCGATGCAAGAACGACCCGCACAGTTTCCAAAAATTTCTCGGAAAGTTAACTATTGAATCTAACTCTTAGTGGACCATAATATGAGGCTCTAATATAATCTCACAGTAGCAGGTAGATCATTGACACGTTAAAAACACGGGTATTGCATAAACGTGCACAAATTATACACGATTTGAACTTGTTAAAGCGCGATTTTTTTGCACAAGAAAATAAACAATCAGTCACAACGCGTAAGCAATACCGAGCAACCAAATTTGATGAGTATAATTGAATGCACGGAATCGCCGTGCAATCAATTTCATGCTGAACGCTTGCGAGAGTGTCCAGTGCAGGCTAACATTGGCTGGCATTCACGCTCATGAGTTATCATAGCCGGCAGCCGCGTTGCAGGTACTTCGCGTGCTTTCAGCCTACATTATATGAGCGATTGTGCGCAGTCGACTTTACCTCCCCTACGATAACCAAAAAAGAAGTACGAAATATTATGAAAAAAATAATGTGAATGAGAAAAGTTTTAAGAAATTTTCTAGTTTAGGTTGCTTCCGCCCAACCCGCGAGCATCCTGAGATTGCGCGGAACAAACAAAGTTATAATTTTCCTCCTTTTTCACATAGTTTCTCGACCATTCTTTTACATAAATCTGTTCTTCAGGTAAAGCTCTACTTATGAGTACTCACCCAAACCGAAGTTCCTAACCTCTACTTTGCTACAGCCCTTGAAGATATAAAAAACGCCCTTTTTTATACGCTTCTATTACCTAAAATTCCTTGTTTTCCCTTCATTTTATCCATTTGTGTTTGTTTCAATTTATTAGACGTACTTCTACTGACATCACAAAATTGTTTCGTAATTTTCTAAATGTCAAAGGGGATTTCTTTTGGAAAATTTTGAAAGCAGCCTCTTGCTGGGTCCTGGTTCCGTGCTACCGACTATAAGTTAATCTGAGTGCATAGTATTTTAGAGAGGCGCGCAATAAATGCGTTGAATATTTGACTTTACTATACCACGGTCTGAATAGCTAACTAAAGGCATCCACAACATTTTCTATTCCAGAAGGTATCTGGCCTGACTGCTCCTCCCAGTACCCGCGCAACTGCTCTTCCAGTGAAGGGCAGGAGCATATTATGCGGCTAAAAATTTCGAATCACAGGTGCGATAAGGTGAGAATGACTCCTCCGGGGTGAAGGGTGTCACAGTGGTCGCAATCCCTCCAGGGTGAAGGGTGTTTCAGTTGATCGAGAAATCATAAAATGCCGACCGGGGGGGGGGGGAGAGGAGAAGGTGATGGTGTTTTCTTATTTTCCAAATAAAAGTTTATCATATTAAATTCTCTGCCATCATTGGTTGTCCTTTTTTAAATGTGAAAACTGATAGGATTGGAACAACCCTATATGTTTTTAAAAATACCCTAGAAGATGTGTATGCAAGAACATCTGTTTCGGGAAAGAGGTAATTTTTAAGCATTTACGAATTTTTAGAAGAAATTCGTAACTTTTGTAGATGAACAGCAACGTCAGCAATGAAAAGGTTTTTACAACTATCTTGTCTTCCGCTTTCAGAGAATATATAGCTTGCCTGGAGTCTATTGAAAAGTGTCTGGTGAAGAGTGTGAGTAGTGATTTCTGGATATTTACGAGTTTTTAGGCTGGAAAAATCCGTAACTTCTGTAGATGAACATCTTATACGCCACGATGGTCACCTTTGGAGCCGTCCCATTCTCCGCTTTTAGAAAATATATACTTTGCCTGGGGTCCGATGAAAAAAGTGCCTGGGTGAATGGTGTCTTAGTGATTGCTGGAGATTTTCGAGTTTTTAACATAAAAAAATTCAAAACTTCTGTAGATGAACATCTTGTATGCCGGGATGACCACCATTAGAAGTGTCTCGTCCTCCGCTTTCAGAAAATATATACTCTACAATGGTAAAAAAGCCTCTACTTGAGCACTCCCATTATAAAAGTCTCACCCACCCTTCACCCGGCACTTTTTCTGACGGACCCCTGGCAAAGTATATATGTATTTTCTGAAAGCGAAGGACGAGGCACTTCTAATGGTGGCCATCCCGGCATACAAGATGTTCATCTGCAGAAGTTATGAATTTTTTTATGTGAAAAACTCGAAAATCTCCAAAAATCACTAGGACACCCTTCACCCAAGCACTTTTTCCAACGGACCCCAAACACATTATACATTTTCTGAAAGCGGAGGATGAGACGGTTCCAACGGCGACCATATCGGCGTACAATATGTTCATCAACAGAAGTTATTGATTTTTTATGTCAAAAAATCGAAAATCCTCAAAATTCACTAGGTAAACCGTTCACTGCACTTTCTTGAATGGATATCAAACGTTTTATATATTTTCTGAAAGCGGAGACGTAACGGTTCCGATGGTGACCGTCAAGGCGTACAAGTTGTTCAACTACAGAAGTTATGAATTTTTTTATGTTATAAACTCGAAAATCTCCAGAAATCATTGCTCTCACCCGTCACCAAGCCCTTTTTTCAACAGACTCCTCCTTTCCTATACATAAACAATTCACGTACAAATATCTACTTTGCTTAGCCTTACCTCACTGTTGATTATTTTTCTCGGCTTTTGGTGAAGGGGGTCATCTTGGTCCCGGCTCAGGGGTGAAGGGAGGGTGAAAAAATTCTCACACTATCGCACCTGTGTTTCGATTATGTTTAGAACAAAAATCGACTAGACGATAAGAGGCCGAACATCAAACTGAGGCGTTGCTTCTATTTATATCCGCGTGGCTAGTAAAGAGCCAACAAATTAGAGGACGGAGACGATAACCGTCGCCAAATAGCGCAGCAACCGTGCGCTCGTCCTCCTGCTTCTTCCATCGCGAAAAGATAATTGTAGAAAGTGAATAAGTAAAGGTTATGGTCTAAATGAGCAGCAAAGCGCTTGAAGTCCCACTTCGTTTCAACTATCCTCGCAGCTTGAGTTGAACGTTTGTAATGATTAAAAACTTTTCTGTCCGCATTGAGCATACGAGCATCACTTCATAAGGAAGGGTTTTTGCGACAGTCTATAAAATGTAACCAAATCTGTTGAACAAATCGAAGTGATTATACTACTTCAAATTAATCCATTTTGCTGTTAAAGGGCAACTACTTCAATGCCAAAAAAAGAATGGGAGGTGTGGTCTGGGGCAACATTTCCACACTCATGGCAGCTTCAGATCCAGTTGTTGCTTATGAAAAAGAAGGCCGTGAGCGTTTTTTTTACATTTGTATCTTAAGGCATAAAAATCACAAAAATTGCAGTGGCGGTCCATCATGCACTGAGAAAATATCCTGTGAAAAATATGACGGGTTTTGTAATAGGATCACAATGGGCCTGGGTAGAGGTGCTGGCACTTCGCAGTGGTGCTGCAGAGGTACGTAACTTTAAACGTATGTCGAAAGGCGCGATTTTTTTGCCAAATGGACACTGGATAGCGCATTTTTAGTGTTCAGTAAAGTTTTAGAAGATTTTCAAACATCTGAAAAATAAAAAAAAAAGATTTTGCGTAGGCTATTTAACCCCTTACTCAAAACCTTGATATTCCAACGATTTCTCAAGCTCTCGTTAGACAATTGAAATACACATACCAAGTTAAGTAAAAACATTGCTTTAGGTACTCACTGTGGAGTACAGAGAAACAAAAATTGTTGGGACGGAAAGAATAAAATATGTCCACCCTATCAAATTTGCAGAGCAATGGAGCGAGTGAGTTTCAGCTATTTTGTAAGAAAGATGTTCTTTTTTGAGCTTCAGATCCTTCTTGGGCATTTAGAGGTATGGGAAAGTTTGATTTCGCAATTTCATTTTCTTCTATCGAACATAGTGGCTTAGGAAGGTACGTCTTACATTATATTAATCCCGAAAGACTTGTCAGTTTTTTCGTCGTTCACTTAAACTCACAGAACACCCATCAGGGACGATCTAGGTACCATTTGATTCAAGTTTTTATCCTCTTCCTTACAGCTTTAACTAATTTCTTGTCTACGCTGTCTTTGCAATGTTATCGTCATGGCTTTTTGAGCAACGCAATAGTAACGCCAAATGTTTCCTAAATTCTAAAAATTTCATCCTGATGTTTTCAAATAGAGCTGGTAAGTGTTTTGTAGGGTAAGCCTTTGGCTACATTGCAACTATTTTAGATTGCATTTGCTACGTTTGCCAAGTCCGTAATAATTATTTATTTGATAAAAACCGCGGCTTTTTGATTACGTTTATCATGTAAAAGTACCAAGAATTTTAAAAGCTGCATTTTCAAAGCAAATCAAACTTGGTTATGTTGCATAAATCATGTTTAATAAGATTCATGTTTCAATTCGCAGAAACTTCAAAAGCTTTTGTGCATTTGCTGCAGTTGCGTGTTTTTTTGCCAAAAATCGAAAGCTCCGAGAAATTGATTTTTTGACTAAAAATAGCGAATTAGGAGAATCTTGAATCAACACATTGTAGTCCGAGAATTGCTCTATTCGATGCATGCTTAGCCCTTTCCGGAACTTTGGAATGAAATTTCCAAAAATTAGAATAACTTTGAGCAGAGAAAATCGAAGTGTGTTTTGGCAGTTATCAAAAAAAGCATAAAAGATTGGTTCGAAAATGTATTCTTAAGAAAGAGACGGAGAAGCTGCATCAAATGCATGTTGAAACCCATTCAATTCTTTATTGTGCGTGGTTTTACAGTGGTTTGAAAAACGGACAAAACTTTCGGGACAACCTAATAAATTGCTTGAATTTGGTTTTAGATACGGCGATCCCATCGATCCAGTTGGCGACTTGAGGGAGGCCCAAAAAGTACTCTGTTTGCTGAAGGAAGGAGGTTGCAGATTTGCTTGTCCAAAAAATGATAGCGCGCAGGTTAAAAACCATTATGGTTGATGTTGCTCACACGTTGCGTCGACAACTTTATTTACTCCTCGTTTTCTTCTAAACATTGAGGATGACCTCAACTTTAACTAATCGTCAAATGTTTGTAACGGATATCGCACAAATTGCAAGCAGGGCCTGGCACAGATCGTTTGGAAGCAAGCTGGACTTCGTCTCTAGAGCAAAAAGCAAAGGAGATATCTTCTGACGAGTTGAAGCCGAAGACTAAGAATAAGCGTCACTTAGTCGAACACAAACTTTTCAAACAAGTTATCACACGATTCACATGCTCTATGGTGTAGGGCGAAAAATGCGCGCGATTTAAAAGCAAGGCTAAAATAAACAAATTTGTAACTGCGGGCTAGTGTTTAGTGGTATTTTAAGGCTTCCACCTTGATTACGGAACATACGAACAGACCAAAAAAATAAAGTTTAACCGTAAGCAAAACGAACAGTAACAACGGCCTCAAGCCAACAACGAACGAAAACAACAAGAAAAACACGAAAGGGGGAATATTCCGATTTATCCCTCCAGCAGGGCTTTACACGGTCACTTTGGATCAATTCTCGGTGAGTTTTCACGTGGGGAGGTCTGGCTCTCTCCTGACCAGTTTTCGACTCCCGCGAGCCTCTTCTGCTCGCGGCCCCCCTCTCTCTTGCCCTTTTATGCCCTGCTGAAAGGGTCACATCGCCTCTTCTTCCCGCCAATTCCGTATTGGTGATCACCGGCCGCATCTTCCAACAAATTGCTTGTTTACATCGCACACAGAGTCAAGTGATACCAAATTAACACATTGACGACGAGCCATTTTTTGGAGGTCTGTCCCTGTGGACGAGACGTTTCCGTGCATCCTTACGCCTGGCCCCATGTATATGTGCATGTATCCACGCACGAAACACAAAATTTGAAAGCCCCGCCCCCATGTTGCAAGCTCCGCTCGCTCGGTCAAAAATGTCGGAATGTCCAAATTTTGAGAATTCATGCGAGTTCAGCCACTTTTGAAAGGTGGGCGGAGCTTGCCACTTAGGGGGCGGGGTTTACCTAGCGGTTGGCGAGGCCTGGCTGAAAGTTGTTCGGGGTTTTGCCTTCATCTACTGCCTCATCCATGCTTTTCATGAGCAAAAAGTGTCCTTATGAGAGGCATGAGAGTGGGCGAGTTTGCCAAAAGGGGCGGGGCTAATAAATGAAGTACATCTGAGCCAGTGGCTTACCCAGGATTTCGGCTCGGGGGGGGGGGCGCGACAAAAATTTTTTTCCGATGAAGGTGCGTGGCGTCAGCCACGCACTCCGAAAACTTTTTTGGTATGCTCCCGAAAATTTTCGTGGGCTCAGAACCCCGAAATTTCAGAAAAGGGGGCGTGGCGTCAGCCACGCCCCCGAAAATTTTTTTTATAACTCTAAAATGAATTTTTAAAATATTTTGAAAATTATTTTAACTATTTACAAGTATAAACAAGTCATTTGCACATTTTTATAACCCATGTAAATAACTTTCAAAAATTTCGCGACCCATTCTCGGGGGGGGGTGCCCCCCCGCCCTTCCCCCCCCTCGGTACGCCACTGATCTGAGCCTATGTTGATTATATGAACAAGAATTAAGAGGATTGGACAGGTAGTATTGGAATTAAGGCCGCGCGCACCATTGCGCGGCACTGTCGTCAACGTGCTGAACTGTATACATAGAATATTGAAAATATTTGAAAATTTATGCGAAGTATTACTTTTCCAAAATTGGTCCGTCTCTAGACGGTCATCAGACGATCTGAAATTGTCTGGAGCATATATTTCTGACTTTTACATAAGTTTTGAACTTTTCTATCATAAAAGGATTCTCCGGTCAAAAAATTAAATCCTGAGCATAAAGACATTTCCAAATCATTGCCTTTCCTTTGTTTTTTTGCCTTAATTTCTTCATAAATCCTTTATTTAACTATCGCGCTCTAATGCTTAACTCTTGGGCATGCGTAGCATTCAGCTCCAAGTTGAAATTTCGCTCTTATCTCACGTATTTTCTTTCAGATTGGCAAATTTTTCTTGTTTTCATCTTATCCTGAGTAGGTAGGTAAAAGAGGACTCGTGAAACTTCCGAAAGTCAGGGGAGACCTCGTTTCCAGAAACTTTAGAAACCGACCCGTGCCGGGCCCTGATTGCAAGCACCAACAACTAGTATTTTGATTGCTCTTTAATAGTTTTGAAAATCGGCGCACGGATTGGCTGAAAACATCAAATCTCTAAATTAAAAACGACGAAAACTGTGCCGTAAGGTACTTGCGCAACAGTAAGCGTTCATCCCCCATAGTTTTTTTCAACCTTCAAAGTCACTTTTGCCTAGAAAGTATTCTGCAGTGAAAACAGGAAAATGTGGGCGGGAAATGGGCGGGAAAATTCAAAAGAAAGTAACCGCTTGTAACCCTTACATCAACCGCTCGCGCATACGGCGCCTCGAAGCACGGCAGACAGTTAGCTTTTCATTACATTTATAGCAATTCCTCACAGAGTTTATTCTTTGCGAGCGATTTGTAAAGCTCGAGCAAAAGCGATACTACCTATTGGGATCTTGACTAGCACTATGTAGCATCATGAAAGAATCGCTTTGCAAATATTAGGTTATGACATAAGTCTTGTTACACTCTAACGTCTTGCGATGATCAGTCGTATATTTCACATTTTAGATGGGGCTCCAGGGCACCCCTCGATGAAGCAAACCAAGCTATGCAAGATGTTGTGCAAAAGTCGCACCAACATCGATAAAATTTTGCATCCAAAATCCGAATCGTACTAAAGTCTCATCGCAAAAAATCATATTTTCGTTTAAAAAAATCCCACAAGTCTCCAACTTGCTCATAAAAATTGCACACCATCAGTCACTCATATGTACCATCCGTGTATTTTTCGAAAATAAGAAAGCTTAAATTTTCGTGTATATCACAAACGGAGCTATGCTGTTTTCACTCATGTAATTGTATACTACAAGCCCTTAAAAGTATTACCATAAACCTCCTTTCAAGCCCCATTTTCGTGAAATACTAATTTTAGCATGGAACAGCCGAATGAGGAGACTAAATTCGGATTTTTGAAATTTAAGGCCTGTGCAAAACTGAAAATCTACGGTTATACTCTCGAGGACTTATACACTTATATGAGTGAAAACAGTATAGCTCCATTGTATAAAAATGAAGATTTTCGTTTTCTCGATTTCTAAATGAGGCAGAAATTCAGAAACATATGAGTGTCTGATGTAGTGTGCAATTTTTGTGAGCAAGTTGGAGATTCGTTGATTTTTTTGAAGAAAGATATGAAATTTTACGCGATTTTTTGAGCCTTCAGTACGACCTAATTTTCGATGCAAACTTACATCGGGTCGAAGTTGGTGCAAACTTTTACATACCATCTTGTCTTGCTTCTCTATCAAATGGTATGCTGAACCACCACTGAAAATGTGAACTGTATGGCTTATTGCCGTAAGAAGTGAGAGTTTCTCAAGAGTTATGTTACAACCTTACCCATTTGCACATTTTCCCACGGCTAAAAATTAAGTAAAAATGATTTTCATGTTCTTCCAGAAGCTGCATTGGGCTGCTTTTAAATACGTAAATCTATGGCGCAAACCTTCAAGAATGTAACCATAAATTTTTGGCCTCTCACACATAAAGATTTTGGGAAATATCAAACTTAGCGCAAAAAAATCTCGAGAAAAAACGGCTTTTCTACATTTTGACCCATTTTAGTGTATGTACGTTTCACGAGTTCTAGCAGCTATGGAAAAATTTAGCAAATTTGGAGGATATTTTAGACGTAGAAAGCATTTACATGAACGAGTAAGGCTCGTAGGAATTTTATGGACGGAGATTGAATTTTTTTTGTTGGGCATTTTTCGGGCATTTTGGAAAGCTTGAGCAAACATTAACACGTTGACGACGAGCCATTTTTTGAAGGTCTGTCCCTGTGGACGAACCGTTTTGGGCATTTTCACAGCCGGCTGCCATATGTATGCATGTATCTATGCGTGACGTACACAAATGCAAGTGGGCGGGGCAGCTCTTCCCACTTTTGGCAAGCCCCGCCCACTTTTCAAAAATTGCTGGAACTTGCTCAAAAACAATGAATTCGTGCAAATTCCTGCATTTTTGAAAAGTGGGCGGAGCTTGCCACTTAGGAGGTGGAGCCTGCATTACGGGGGCGGGGTCAAAATCAAGATTATTTAAAGTTCCGTTGTCATCTATGAGCTTTTCTATGCGATTTGAGAACGAAAAAAGTTTTTTGTAGAGGGCAGTGGAGTGGGCGGAGTTTGCCAAAAAGGGGCGGGACCAACATAAAATACTTTCGAGCCTAACTTAATTATATGAACACAAATTGGAACCATTGTGCACATTAAAACTGATGTTTAGAATGTCGCGCACCATGCGACACCGTCGTCAACGTGTTAACTTGCGGTCTTGTAAAGCTTGCTGTGTGTCGAATGGTACCGCCAAAAACGGTAAAAAAAATTACGAACACCCCAATACTTATGCTAAAATTCTCTCTTTATTCTCTGACGCACCTAAAAATATGCAAATCTTTCAGATGAATGTGACAAATTTATACAGTACGATGTGCTTGTATATGTAGTACTTGTATACATATTATATCAAACATAGCCTTATTTATGGTAGAGAGCATGGTTAAATTATTTAGGACTTTTTTACCTTGGGATACCTCGCGGGAAAGACTCGATTTTTTTCAACGCACATCGCATTTACGGTCGGATGAGACTTGCGATGATCATGACAGGTATAAAGATAAGTTCTTATTATATAAGCTTATGTCAAAGTTTGATTCAGGATTTGAATGGTTGGCTACATTCAGAGAAGACAATCCATATCCAGAAACTAGGAATGAAAACGATTATAATGGGCCGCCTCAGACTCAGGATGTATATGTACTAAAGAAACTTTGATAATACATTTGGGAAGTTAGCAAATTTGTCTCGCTCTGCTAGAATTTATACAAATTATAAATGCATTTCCGACCG